CAGTTTACTATCGAAATATATAAATTAACGTATAATATAAATTCATATAAATTCAATAAATATAAATCTCACAAGACAATGCCCCACAACCCGGCCGTAAGTGTGTCGTAAGATATTCAAGAATAAGAACAATGTCTTAAGAGTTACGAACATCGTAAGAATTCTGGCCGAAAATTGGCGCGTAACTTTCCCGCCAAAACGTGTATATTTTAAGTATATTTCAGGCCAAAATATAACGACTGAACGAGGTTGTTAGTGTCGTCGTAGATGGATGTTAACGACAGTTGGAAAAAACGTCTTCCTGTCCCCAAGTTAAACATGTAATTAACTTTAATCAATGAATCTTGAGAGTTAATTTAGCAATGATATATTTGGGTCAACAAGAGTTAACTTATGTTAACGAGGTTAACTAACTTTTAGGAAGTTAATTAACTTTAAGGAGCCGAGCGGACAGCACGCTGGACTTGTGATCCTGTGGTCCTGGGTTCGATCCCAGGCGCCGGCGAGAAACAATGGGCAGAGTTTCTTTCACCCTATGCCCCTGTTTCCTAGCAGTAAAATAGGTACCTGGGTGTTAGTCAGCTGTCACGGGCTGCTTCCTGGGGGTGGAGGCCTGGTCGAGGACCGGGCCGCGGGGATACTAAAGCCCCGAAATCATCTCAAGATAACCTCAAGATAACTCAAGATAACAAGTCATTCACTCTCTTCAGGCCTGACTGTCTGGGCTTACCCGGCACGTCTCGGGTGCTGCTTGGGGGGGGGGTCCAGGTCGGGCCGAAATACCATCACTCTTCTCTCTCTTTTTTGCCTAACTCCTGCTAGGTGAACAGCGGCATCAGGTGAAATATCAATTAACCCTTCCCCCCCACACACACACACTTGCCTATCTCTCAAGTACCTATTTAACTGCTAGGTGAATAGCGGCATCAGGCGACAGGAAACATGCCCAATCGTTTCTGTCTCCTTGTGGGTTGGGCTATTTAATGCCAGATTCGTGTGCTCGTTATGACGGGTCTTGAGTCGCTTTAATTATACTAAATGAAGCATAAAAAACAAATTATTTAGGGGGGGAGTTTCAAAAGCAATTACTAAATAATTCAATTCGGCGTTCAATCCCCGCGACCGTCCACAAGTGGTTGGGCACCATTCCTTTCCCTCCGTCCCATCCCAAATCCTTATCCTGACCCCTTCCCAGTGCTATATAGTCGTAATGGCTTGCTACTTTCCCCTGATAATTCTCTTCCCTTCTCTCTCTCTCTCTCTCTCTCTCTCTCTCTCTCTCTCTCTCTCTCTCTCTCTCTCTCTCTCTCTCTCTCTCTCTCTCTCTCTCTCTCTCTCTCCCCCCCCTCTCACTCTCTCTCTGTCTCTCTCTTTCTCTCTCTCTTTCTCTCTCTCTCTCTCTCTCCCTCTCCCCCCCTCTCTCCCTCCCCCCCACTCTCTCCCCCACTCTCTCTCTCCATCCCAACAACCAGAAACATAACCAACTTTTCTTGCGTGAGGGTCGTCAAGAAACTGCATGTCTCCAGCACAAACTTTCAAGATATTTATCATTCTTAGAGCGTACATATTCCTTGAGACACTGTTCTTAGCTAATGGTCTGGTGGAGAGAAATTAATCTTCCTCACTTCTTTCTTAGTCATTAATCTTAAGGTAAGCTTAAGCAAGCTTAGACTCAGCTCTGGGACTCATTTATATATTCAATCTTGACCCAGCTTTGATGATACACACATGACTGTCTACGATCAAGGTACACACATGACTGTCTAAGACCAAGGTACACACACATGACTGTCTAAGACCAAGGTACACACACATGACTGTCTAAGATCAGGGATTACATTTTATCTGTCATTATTTTGTCAATCCAGATAATTACACACCTGACTTAACTACCTTGACCCAATTAAGCCAGGTTGCACGAAAGAGCATTTCCCCTTGATTCATGCAACAAGTTAATGAGTTATGAGAATTACAGATAATGAGTAACCACTCCTTATTATTTCTCTCTTTACAGCTAAATGCAAATTCTCTCAATTAATGAGTAAAGCGTTGGAGTTTATATGTATTTTTAATACATATGTGAGAGGGTGTTTTTTTGGGGTTCATTTATTTCAATATAATTCAATTTTTTATTCCAAATTTCACTAGAACACAGATGGGTGATATGCAAATTCAACCCATTTTTCCAAATGGTTTCTCTCTCTCTCTCTCTCTCTCTCTCTCTCTCTCTCTCTCTCTCTCACACAATTGGACTGTCACACCTCACTGCCTATCTTCCGTCCCCGATATAAAATATTTTCCCTGGGGCTCTGGCTTTAAGAACTCAACTACAATACAAATTTTCCTAGTGTATATATGTCTCATGTTGTATGACTCAATGTGTATAACGAATATACTCTATTGAGCACATTATCTTTGAATTATCTTTTTGTATTAGGGCCTAGACACATGTACAAAAATATGTCCAGATTTTCAATATCGCAGATAAAATATAGATATAAAAAGTGTACTATTACATTTTAAAAAGTGGTTAGATATTAATCCAAATGGCAATTAATACGTAAAATAATCACAGATTATATCTAAATCTATTTAAATCTATCTAAATCTATGAGAAACGACTAATCTCCATGTAAAAATTAGTACTTAAAACATCATATCATATCCAATCTAATATCTTAAATCCCAGAATTTCTGTTTTTCACTAAAAAAAATAATAATACGCTTTTCACATTGAAATCTAATACGTCTGAGGACATATTGTCTGAGGACATATTGAGGACATATAATGGATTCGAACCCACGACACTGTGGAGTCTGGAGACGAGTATTCAATCCCATCTCACAGTCTCAAAGTTTTGAGTTTTGAGTTCTATGTGAACATAAGACTTAAGAAAACATCCTTTGTGTTTCATCCTCTATAGTCAATGTGTTTCAAGACAGTGTTTCCAAAGTGTACTTCCACACTAAGTGTATCCAAAGTGTGTTCCATGAATGGTGTTGCAAAGTGTGTGTATTCCCATGAATGGTGTTTCCAAGAAGGATTTTTCCAGGAAAATTTGAAGCGATTGATAAAAGAAAAAGTGTTTCAATAGAGTGTATTTTCAGAGAGTGTGTTCCCAGAGTGTTTTTTCCGAGTGTAAGTGTTTCCTTGCAGTGTATACACTTAACCCTTCATATCTGAACCCATGTTCTCAGCAGCTAAATCAATAACTCTCTCCTTATGTCTACTTTGAAACTTTTGTGTGGTAGGCCTAGCTGAACTTTCAATTTGTCATGTGTTTAGCATTATTTTAATGCTAGTAGGCCTAGCCAATTGTTTGATGCCCCGATTATGTACTTTCTGAGCAATACAAAAATAAATTCAATACAATTTTAGGCATTAAAGACATCCTCGTTTAAGGTCATTTAATTAGAAATTGGTGTCATTAACTGGTTTGACAGTAGTTACTCCCACAACATTTTATGAAATGTCTGTAATATATTTTTAATCAGCTCTCTAAAAGTGGGACTTTATCTCTCTCTCTCTCTCTCTCTCTCTCTCTCTCTCTCTCTCTCTCTCTCTCTCTCTCTCTCTCTCTCTCTCTCCATTTTATTTTCTATAAATGAGGGTACAGGAACAGACGACTGCCGACTCCTGTTAGGAGGCTGAGAGCTTTCCCTTCCCATATCTCTCTCTCTCTCTCTCTCTCTCTCTCTCTCTCTCTCTCTCTCTCTCTCTCTCTCTCTCTCTCTCTCTCTCTCTCTCTCTCCCCAATAGGAACCCAAGACCCAACATCACCCTCCGTCTATTCATAAGGAACATAACTAACTTATCTCTCGCGGTCTTGAAAACGGAAGTAGATAAACTCCTCCCAATGATACGTAATCACCCGGACTGCGTCGCACACTTAAGACTGCCAGCAGCGTCGTCTAACAGCCTGGTTGACCACATCACCACCCGCAGTTAAGGTAAGCTACCTTCACCTCAAGGTTCGCCACCTAGTGAAGGTAAAGATGCTGATGGTATTACCAATAAAGGTCAGGCTCTCCATTTAAGGCAGAGTTACTTGGTTCAAAACCTTGTCTTGCTACGTCAGGCTGCGAGCAGCCGCGTCCAACAGCCTGGTTGACCAGTCCAGCAACCAGGAGGCCTGGTCGACGACCGGGCCGTGGGGACGCTAAGCCCCGGAAGCACCTCAAGGTACTGACTCTAAGTCCAGCTATTTGGGCAGGTCGGTACGGCAGCGGGCTCACATGAAGCAGGGTCGGAGTTCGATCCCCCGATGGCCCAAGAGGTTAAACACCATTCTCCTCATACCGTCTTAAGGTCCCAACTCCCTATCCTCCTATCCCTTCAGAGCTTTATACATATACACAGCTTTAGCATCTTATCATAAGCTTCCTTAGGTAGGTTATCTTATCTTGAGGTTATCTTGAGACGATTTCGGGGCTTAGCGTCCCCGCGGCCCGGTCCTCGACCAGGCCTCCTGTTTGTTACACACCCCCAGGAAGAAGCAGCCCGTAGCAGCTGTCTAACTCCCAGGTACCTATTTACCGCTAGGTGAACAGGAGAACATCAAGGTGAAACAAACATTTTGCCCATTTCTCTCCACCGCCACCGAGGATCGAACCCGGAACCTCAGGACTACGACTCCGAAGCGCTGTCCACCCAGCTATCAGGCGCCCCACTGATATCACAGTCACTGCACCCTATACTGAACTAAACTGGACTTAATGGACTTAAAATGTCATTTAATGGGCTAAAAAATGGACCTAACGCCATTTAAGGTTAGTTTAAACGCTGACAATTCAGAAGGAACCAATTGGTTACAGAAAATATGGAAGCAGCGAATATATTACGTATGCAAATGAACCAATCAGCGCACAGACTCGAGAGGGAATCAGCGAATCACATCGCTGGAACCGCCGAGAGCTGAAGCAGGCTTAAATTAAGAAGCAAAATAGGTGAGCTTAGGAAGCAAAATAGGTGAGCTTAGAAGCAAAATACCTGAGCTTAGAAGCAAAATACGTGAGCTTAGAAGCAAAAATACGTGAGCTTAGAAGCAAAATACCTGAGCTTAGAAGCAAAATACCTGAGCTTAAGAAGCAAAAATACGTGAGCTTAGAAGCAAAATACGTGAGCTTAGAAGCAAAAATACGTGAGCTTAGAAGCAAAATACGTGAGCTTAGAAGCAAAATACCTGAGCTTAAGAAGCAAAAATACGTGAGCTTAGAAGCAAAATATATGAGCTTAGAAGCAAAATAGGTGAGCTTAAGAAGCAAAAATACGTGAGCTCAGAAGCACAATATATGAGCTTAGAAGCAAAATACCTGAGCTTAAGAAGCAAAAATATATGAGCTTAGAAGCAAAATAGGTGAGTTTAGAAGCAAAATAAGTGAGTTTATAAGCAAAATACGTGAGCGTAACTGCTTCGTGAATCTGGCCCCAGGTTCGTAAGTGCTTGCGTAACTGCTTCGTGAATCTGGCCCCAGGTTCGCAAGTGCTTGCGTAACTACTTCGTGAATCTGGCCCCAGGTTCGTAAGTGCTTGCGTAACTACTTCGTGAATCTGGCCCCCAGGTTCGTAAGTGCTTGCGTAACTGCTTCGTGAATCTAGCCCCAGGTTCGCAAGTGCTTGCGTAACTACTTCGTGAATCTGGCCCCAAGTTCGTAAGTGCTTGCGTAACCGCTTCGTGAATCTGGCCCCAGGTTCGTAAGTGTTTGCGTAACCGCTTCGTGAATCTGGCCCCCAGGTTCGTAAGTGCTTGCGTAACCGCTTCGTGAATCTGGCCTCAGGTTCGTAAGTGCTTGCGTAATCGCTTCGTGAATCTGGTCCCCAGATCTTTAACACTGTCCATAGAGGACAGAAGAAAATGTGTGCTGGTTAGCACAGTAAATATCTGGCCACGTCTGTGGTAGAAAAAAAGTCTACTTTGATCTCGTAAAAGTATGTAATACTTTTTTTTAGGCAAAGTTTTTAACCCTTAACGAAACCTGTGCATCATTCCTCATGAATTTCGTTTTTTTTTACATCTATTAAACAGTTCATGAGCTTCGAAACACTACGAAGTGATTTCTAACAATAATAATTTCCGTTGTGAAGTTACGAATTTCGTAAACAAACCCCTTTCGATTATTTAGCAAAGATGTAAAGGTTTCGTAAAGGGGGGGTTGAGTAAATATTTGATGAATCCCTGGCACTGGTGCCTGAAGGAGCCAATAGCATACCCATTGACGACCTAAAAATAAGTTCTAAAATCTTCATTGGAATCCTTGACTTAGTTGGGAAACTCCAGTAGGAATTATCTGTTTATTATCTAAGTTAACATCCTGAGCGAGAGAGAGTTAGTGGGGGGGCGGACGAGGGGTTAGAGGGGTTAAACACTCTTAAATGGGTCCACTTTGGGCTGGACGGTAGAACAACGGTCTCACTTCATGCAGGTCGGAGTTCAATCCCCACGACCGTCCATAGGAGATTGGACACCATTCCTTTCCCCCGTCCCATCCCCAAATCCTGACCCCTTTTTCCAAATGCTACATAGCCCAAATGGCTTGGCTCTTTCCTTTGATAATGCCATTCTATTCACCCGTCCTTTGACACGTCACTAACCATTGTTTGTCAGTCACAAACGAAACAAACAGGATAGAAGGTGACGCGCCGTGATAGGACAGGAAATGACCGACTATTGACAGTACAAGTCAGTTGTCGTACCTTTAAAACCATCTCTCTCAGTATACTGGAGATGACAGGTGAGGTACTATAATTTTCTCTAAAGTATATGCTATCTTAAGTGATATCTTAATGCCTAAGGGTTCCTACTTCACTATATCTAGATAAGTTATCACATAAGATAACTAAAATAGATTCTAGTGACAAAAAATTGATTCATAGATTTATGTAATAGCTTCATAGATTAATTTAATAGATTCATGATTTATGTAATAGATTCATGATTCCAGTAAAATAGATTTATGTAAGCCTTACAAGCTGACAGTCCACAAGCTTATATCTCTACCTCTTCTCCTAGCTACCAAGTGTAACACTATTTACGGGTCCGAGTTCAATCCCCGTGACCGTCCACAAGTGTTTTGCGGGACCATTCCTATCCCTCCGTCCCATCCCAAATCCTTATCCTGACCCCTTTCCCAGTGCTATATAGTCGTAATGGCTTGGCGCTTTCCCCCTGAAAATTCCCTTCCCTCTCACACTTTCTTTACAAAGATATCGCTTAGTTTTTCTTTACGTGTTCACCTGTAATATTAATTCAGTTGAGGGTAAGATTAATAATTCTAACATGAATCTTCTCAATATTTCTTACGTTCTTCTTCTCTGTCGAGGGGTAATTGATAAATTAAGTCTCCAAAATTCATTCTTTATTCCTGGTCTGACGCCTGAACGCGTTTCGTAATCCTTATTACATTTTCAAATACATATTATATATATATATATATATATATATATATATATATATATATATATATATATATATATATATATATATATATATATATATATATATATATATATATATAGCGAGGCTATACACCTCTCGGTCAATGAATCCTTGACCTTCGAGGACGCTGACTTGGATACAGTAGCGTCTCCAACACGATGTATCCAGCTGTATCCGGAGGACACAGGTGATCTGACCAAGAGCAGTCTGAGGAGGGCCTTTATCTCCCAGCTGGCATCACCTAGCAACCAGCATCCCAAGATGCTGGAGCAGTCTCCATCTTCATCTTTTTAAACACTTACTAATTGCTCTATTTATCGTATTTTAATGAGTAATACAATTTGAAGAGTTTAGAGAGAGAGAGAGAGGGAGAGGGAGAGAGAGAGAGAGAGAGAGAGAGAGAGAGAGAGAGAGAGAGAGAGAGAGAGAGAGAGAGAGAGAGAGAGAGAGAGAGAGAGAGAGAGAGAGAGAGAGAGAGAGAGAGAGAGAGAGAGAGAGAGAAGGGGAACGGACCCTTAAGGGGACATGGAAAGGTAAATGGACTTTTATATTAGACGTGGGACAGGTAGACCTTCAAGGGAAGGTGGGATAGGATGGTCTACGAGGGTAGGGGGGATGGAAAGGGTGAAACGGATGTGGGAAAGGGGGGGGATAGGCAGTCACCGACATTATAAAAAACCCCGACTGCTTAATCTAGTCATTCCACTGTCTACCACTCGTCCCATCACTACACAGGTAAACTCAGTGATTACTTAACCCTTTTCTTGTTATTTCTACACAAGTTTACCTCTGCATACCATTGTAGACTCAGTTTACATGGCAGTACAGGCGAGGAGTCACAATAACGTGGCTGAAGTATGTTGACCAGACCACACACTAGAAGGTGAAGGGACGACGACGTTTCGGTCCGTCCTGGACCATTCTCAATCCGATTGTGGACTTGTGAATGGTCCAGGACGGACCGAAACGTCGCCGTCCCTTCACCTTCTAGTGTGTGGTCTAGTTAATGTCGTATTAATCTCTCATAATCTCCCATAACCAGAAATTTTATAAGGGAATAATATTTGAATTGATTTTGTGTGAATCTGTGTGCCATAAGATGATGAATAGTCTTGATGTGAGGTTACCATTTCCCAGAAAGGTATACCTTCAAGGTATACCTTCAAGGTATACTTGCTTTACTTGCTGTTTTCCAAGCAAAATCTCGCTCATTTACTCAAGGACTTCGACCTTACCCCCTGGGTACAACCCACAACAGTTTCCTTGCACTGCTAGTACGAGGCGAACTAGAGTTATCAGGTGAAAGGAAATGTGCCCAACCATTCCCGTCCAGGAATCGGACTAGGTATCCTCGAGTGTGAGTCGAGAATGTAGACCACTGAACTACGACAATGGGATATTTCATATCCTTGTCCTCACTCAAGTAGGAGGGGAATTAATGTATTCTTGCGGGATATTCGACTGTATGTACATAGCGACAACCTTGCTTCATGCAGGTCAGAGTTCGAGACCCGATGTTTCTAGTGGTTGGGCGCTATTCCTTCTTTCGTTCTATCTCAGTTCCCTGTCCTCCTAGTCCAGTTCCTTGGCCTCATATCCCAGTTCCTTGTCCTCATATCCCAGCTCCTTGTCCTCATATCCCAGCTCCTTGTCCTCATATCCCTTCCAAGTGCTATATAGCCGAATATATAGCACTTGGCGCTTTCCCCCGATAGTCCAAATCAATTCACAAGCCTACGCCAACTTCGATCTCACCCTCAGCATCGAAAAGACCGAAGTCGGGGGTCGAACTCGCGCCCGGAAGACTCCGCCAGGATCAACACATCACGGTCGAAGCGGCAGAACCTTCAGGCAGTCGAGCAGGCCACGCTGTCAGAATGCCTGACAGCCGATTACCTAAACAACTGTTGCATGGAGAATTATGCCATTCCGTGCGATGAAACGACCCAAGATCGTTTCTTCTGATCTTAAAGTCACCCTTAAAGGCTTCAATTGGGCGACGCTTGCTCGGGAATGCCCAACATGGCAAAGGAAACTTATCCCAAAGGCCATTGAGAATAGCCAGACACCAGAGGACCAGAGGAAACATGTTCCAATGTCTGAGCGTGGCTTCCGAACTCAGATCGCGTCCTCCATCTTCTTAAGTAGCCATCGAACTCCTTCATCGAAGTCACGGTCGACTTCGACTCTCGTAGACCGAATAATATCACACTTGCGTTGTTATTTCTAATTGTTACAATATATTTTACCCTAAGTGGGGACATTTTTTTACAAATATTTACAGAAATCATAGAGACAATGATGGCTGGAGGAATAGTTCGTGGGGCGGCCGCACTGGTGCTGGTGGCGCTCGTGGTTGCCCAGTTTACAATGGCTGACCCGCAAGGCTTAGATGACGATGAAAGACTTATTGATTTACCGGGTAAGTTGCTGACTTATTTTATTAAGAATAAAGGTAAACATTTTAAATGAGCATTTTTAACTAATCTTATTCAATGAACCAACGAAAAAAAACTGGAGATTTGCTAATCTTCGCTAACTATATGTTTTGTAAGACTTAATGTTTTACTTAGTTAAGCAAGAATTACTAATATGTGAAAGTTATGTTATAAAGATATTCATTTCTCATTATATATATCCAGCTTTGGTGATTTCATCAGATATCAAAATATATCTTTGATTTACGATTGAAAATAATTATCCCAAAACTAAGCAAAGGGGAAAAAATTAATGTAACTTTAATGCAAGATTTGCTTATAAAACATTTCTTAACTGCTTAAGAAATGTTTAAGAAAACATTTCTTAATTGCTTTGTCTCCCCATTTGCGATAATTGTAACTGCTTAGCGACATTTTCCTGACAATTCCTTTGCCTTTTTGGGCTGGACGGTAGAGCGACGGTCTCGCTTCATGCAGATCGGCGTTCAATCCCCGTGACCGTCCAAGTGATTGGGCACTATTCCTTACCCCCATCCCAAACCCAAATCCTGACCCCTTCCCAGTGCCATAGAGTCGAAATGCCTTAACTCCCTAAAAAAAAAAATTCCTTTGCCTTCCCCATAAGTAGTTAACCACTTAATCAGGCCCTCAACCACTTAACCACCTGGTCTCAACAGACAATGGCTGCAGTGCCCTCTGTTCCAAGATCTACAGGCCTGTGTGTGGGTCGAATGGCGTGACCTACAGTAACCAGTGCCGCTTGGAGTATGCCCAGTGCCTCGGTAACCCTGTAAAGAAAGTTCATAATGGCCCCTGTGCTGATAAGGACGATGATGTTGATAACGGACTGCTGCTGGGTGAGTGGATGACCATCTCAGCCATGATGGGCTCGCGATACTTTTTTTAAGCCCATCATGGTTCAGTCGGTAGTGCTTATGCCTGTGGAGTCAACAGATGCGGGGTTCGATCCCCCTTAACGGCCTCAACATTTCCTCGCGTTTATAATATATAAACAACATATAAACAATGCTTAGGGATTTAATAGTTTGTTATACAAGCGACTTAGTTCATAATATCGTAGTGTAATCCTGCACATTGTAATTGTTTGCAATTGTTTGTAATTGTTTGCACTTGTTTGCAATTGTTTGTAATTGTTTGCACTTGTTTGCAATTGTTTGTAATTGTTTGCAATTGTTTACACATTGTTTGCAATTGTTTACACATTGTTTACACCTGTTTGCACATTGTTTCCACTTGTTTTATGGCAATATATAATCTTAAGGTATTAAATCCTGTTTACACTAACACCAATATTCCCTTCTACAGATTAGAATCCTGTGACCCCTGACCCAGAATTGATGACGATTAGTGATGATTAGTGATGATTATCTGCCCTCAATGACATGGTCTAAAAAAATTCATGAAACATTGTAGTTATTGAATGTGATTTATCTATTAAAAATTTCTTCATTAGTTCCTATTTTTTTCATTATTTTGTGCATTTCTTTCATATTTTACTTCCCTTCACCACCCTGGCTTTACCAGCTTAAGTTAAAATAAAGATATTTTGCTGTTATAGATTAAACAACTTGGAACATAAAGTTCCTAGTAGCACGGTCTATGGTGAGCCCCGTCGTAAAATATAGAGATTGAGGCAAAGTCTTCAGTATATATATCTTTCCTTATGATAATATGATAGCCAGGATAGCCTTATGATCTTGGTAACCAAGATTCAACGAATCCTGGTTTTCAAGATTCAACGAATCCTGGTTTTCAAGATTCAACGAATCCTGGTTTTCAAGATTCAACGAATCCTGGTTTTCAAGATTCAACGAATCCTGGTTTTCAAAATTCAACGAATCCTGGTTTTCAAGATTCAACGAATCCTGGTTTTCAAGATTCAACGAATCCTGGTTTTCAAGATTCAACGAATCCTGGTTTTCAAGATTCAACGAATCCTGGTTTTCAAGATTCAACGAATCCTGGTTTTCAAGATTCAACGAATCCTGGTTTTCAAGATTCAACGAATCTTGGTTATCAAGATTCATTGATATCTTTCCCGCTATCATTCAGCTACGAAGTTGTTTATGACAATTAAACAATTGTTTGCAATGTTTCGATGTTTGTAAACTGTTTACTGCAAACTATTGATGCTATGATTGGGGGAAAGATGGACAGGTTTCGTAAGGGAACACGGAAATATTGGGTGAATTCTGGTCCTGTGTATATCGCTTATGAAGGACGCAGTGATGAGTTTGCTTCACTCAGCCCCTGGTGTGACGCAAAGAGTGACGCAGCAAAGACTGACGCAGAAAAGAGTGACGCAACAAAGGGGTCTAGTGCAAAAGGGGGGGAACGGACCAATAGGGGAGAGAGGGGGGGTGATAGCCCCCTAGTGGACACATATTGGGCAAACAACGTCTATTCGACGTACCTGAAGCCCCTTTTCACCCACTAGATAGCCTGGTTATCGACTTTAAAACAAATGGCTATCGTCATTCTCTCAAATCCCACCCCCGCCTCCACCGGGGATCGAACCCGGAACCGCAGGACTACGAATCCCGAGCGCTGACCACTCAGCCATCAGGCCCCTCCTTCCAAGTACCTTCCAAAACGCCACATGATTAAACTTGCGAAACCTGTACATCTTTGTTTGAATTTATTAAACAGTTTGAGCTCCAAAAAACTGAAAGGTTGTATACAATAATCTTGTATTGGGACATTTCAGAGCTCATAAACTGTTGTATAAATACAACTACAACCTTTTCCCGATTCATCATCCTCATCATACAACAAGATTAAGGAAAAGATGCACTGGTTTCGTAAATGAGTGCGGTAAATGGTTATAAGGTTCTCATCGCCTTTATCGCCCATTACAACCTGTCCTCAACCTATTTTTTCCCCATTTTATACTACCAGAGAACCCCCCAATCCCCCCCCCTACACCCCCCACACCCCCCCTACACCCCTCATACACCCCCCTACACCCCCCATACACCCCCTACCCCTCCCCATTCGCCCATTAATGGAATCATCCAACTAAACTCCTTAACATCACAAGAAATCTTATTACAGCCCAAACTGTTCCGTAATCCGCTTGTATCAATTAGATCATCAATCACCCCATCGAGTACTTCAACTCTTGTCAGTATAATCTCCTTAATCATCAACCAAGACGTCGTAGCTCCTGTGTGCACGCCTTGCAATAATTGATCAATGGCACTGCCTCCTTGCAAGATTCTTCGACTGCTTGGAGTGGTTGGCATAGAGTGCATGATCTTGTAGCTTGCAGGCCCGGGGTTCGATTCCCGTTAATCAACCAGTAAGTATACTGAATTACCACTGTCTCCAGAAGTAAAAATAAACTGCGTATATATATATATATATATATATATATATATATATTATATACACCTAGATCTGGGTATAGATCCCTTGAGTAAGATGTATAAAATGTATTAAATGTATTTTCCTGCAAACAGCTAGAAGTAACTACTTACCTTGTCTACATTACTGTATTCTAGTGCCTGTAGGCCTGTAGACGCAGGTGTAGACGCAGGTGTAGACGCAGGTGTAGACGCGGGTATTAACGTCTGTGTCACACTACAGGGTGTCAGGCACTCTAGGGAAAAAGAAAATTAATCTTAAAATTTTCTTAAAAGCATTTTTTTCCCTTTGTACTCTCCCTATATTATATATATTCCCTTTAAATATACCCTAATTGATGCAATAACTCTGGCTAAGGGGGTAGCACCCTCACCCCATACTGCAAAGACCCAGGTTCGACCCCTGAGTCAGAAGGCATGAGAAATAACCCTTAACTCATCGCCCCCTATTCACCCAGGAGTAATTAAAGACGGTTGTAAACCCATTAACAGATAGAGTTCCAGGGGAGTTAAAAACCATGATAAAGCTTAACATTAAATGGCAGAAAGGAGAGCTTTAAGCTTATTATAAAAAGATAAAGTCATTCACTATCATTCACCCAGCCTCTAACGAAACCTGTAGATCATTCCTCATTCATGGGCGGCTTTGTTTACATATATGTAAACAGCTTATGAGTTCCGGACGAGGTTGTTTACAACAATAATAATTGTGAGGTGTTTAAGAAATGTAAACGTAGGCGCCATTATCAAGGAAAGATCTACAGGTTTCGTAAGATGTTACGTAAATGCTTGGTAAATGCAGACAAGGAGTATCAAAAAATAAGGTGATTCAAGATATCTAATGACCGAACCACACACTAGAAGATGAGAACACGACGACGTTTCGAGCCGGCCAGGAACCAGATTCACGAAGCAGTTACGCAAGCACTTACGAACCTGGGGGCCAGATTCACGAAGCAGTTACGCAAGCACTTACGAACCTGGGGCCAGATTCACGAAGCAGTTACACAAGTACTTACGAACCTGGGGCCAGATTCACGAAGCAGTTACACAAGTACTTACGAACCTGGGGCCAGATTCACGAAGCAGTTACACAAGTACTTACGAACCTGGGGCCAGATTCACAAAGCAGTTACGCAAACACTTACGATCTTGTCTATCTTTTCTCAATCTTTGGCGGCTTTGTTTACAATTATTAAACAGTTAATGAGCTCCGAAGCACCAGGAGGCTGTTTATAACAATAACAACAGTTGATTGGCAAGTTTTCATGCTTGTAAACTGTTTAATAAATGTAACCAAAGCCGTGAAAGATTGAGAATATGTATATATATATATATATATATATATATATATATATATATATATATATATATATATATATATATATATATATATATATATATATATATATACCACCTGCTTTGCAATGGAACTCAAAATCTCTGAATATAATTGAAAAAAGTATCTTTGAATACTCTCGAAGTCCATTCCATCCCCCGTCCTACCCCAAACTCCTTATCCTGACCCCTTCCAAGTGCTATATAGTCGTAATGACTTGGCGCTTGCACCTGAAAACTCCCCCTCCCCCCTCTCCTAGTCTACCAGCCACTTTAACTACACAAAACAGAAAGCAATTACCCGAAACAAACGGCCAACCGCGCTCGTCAAGGAGTCCTGACACACTGCCTCTCTTGCCCAACTGGCTTGACCTTGTCATCTCATGTGTTGAGTTCCTTACGATGTAAATATAAATTAAAGCACTGTTATATGTAAGTTTTTATGTGCATTAACCGCGATAGGTTAAGTTAGGTTGCTTAGACCGTTTGTTTCTAAGTTACAAAAACAGTTGCTGTCTTGTTTTTGTTTACGGTGACAAATAGAGAAAACGGGCCGTTGGGTAACAGCTGTTTGCCTCGTATAACACTCTCTACGTGGGTGTGGCTTAAAGATGTGGACCTACCCTGCCCAGCCTATGTCAGTCCCACACCCCACACTCTTCCCCCTGCAAATTTAAGCGAGACTAAACCCTCTCAAAGCATTAGGCCTCAAACTTAATACGCATACAGACATTCTATGTAGGTCTGAGAGAATAAACATATACATACATGTATATCCATATACATATATAAAAGATTAAATTTTAATAGCATTGTTCACTCATTCTTCGATTTAGAAGAATCTAAATTTTACAGCTTTGAACATTTTATTTAGTAATGAAATGATGATTAGGGAAGGCATAGACATGTGGCAACTCTGGCAGCCGAAGGTATAAAAGGGACCGAGGCCTCTGTGGCACCTTCAGTACCCCATCAGCCAGGTCGTAGGTACCATCGCTCCACCAGGACCATGGCCAGACTAGTTCCTCTGGTGGCCGCTGTACCGCTGGTGGCGCTGCTGCTCCTCCTCCCACACTTCAATATGGCCGCCGAGGGTGATGGTAAACAAAACAATTCAGTTGTTTTAATTCGTCAGATAAATTAATTATAAATTATTGGTGTTATTATTTTGATAATTAGTTACTTTGATAATTGACATACTTTTTAAATTAAACTATATTAAAAACAATATGGTGGGCTAGTTTGCCAATCTTTTAATAATGAATTATTATTGTCAGGGGACAGGGAGCCATAGTATATAGACATGTAATCTCTCAACACGCTGACTAACTCCTGGGTACCCATTTACTGCTAGGTGAACAGTTGCATTAGATTGAAGGAAATGTGCCCAAACATTTCTGCATCGCCTTGGGATTCTAGATATCAACCAGTCCTCGACTCGAGTCCATTCCATCCAGCGGCCGACCCCACAGACGCTTTCATTAACTTTTACACGTTATTCATTCAAAACGGGATTTTCTCAGCCGGAGGGAGCCGGTCGGCCGAGCGGACAGCACGCTGGAATTGTGGTCCTGGGTTCGATCCCAGGCGCCGGCGAGAAACAATGGGCAGAGTTTTTCACCCTATGCCCCTGTTACCTAGCAGTAAATAGGTATCAGGGAGTTAGACAGCTGCTACGGACTGCTTCCTGGGGGTGGAGGCCTGGTCGAGGACCGGGCCGCGGGGACGCTAAGCCTCGAAATCGTCAAGATAACTTGAAGATTTGCTCAAAAACATATCTATCCTTTGTGTTCAATCCTTCGCCAATAATTTGTTCAATAATGTGTTCAATAACTTCAGCAATATTTTCCAGAGTGCCCCACTGCGTGTCCTGAGGACTACACGCCCGTGTGTGGCACTAATGGTGCCACCTATAGCAACCTGTGTAGCCTGGAGAGTGCCAAGTGCAAGGACAAGACCATTGATCTGGCCTACGGCGGTCAGTGTGAGAAGGACAACTCCTCAGAGGAAAATTTCTTTGTACGTAATCTTAGAGAGAGAGAGGGGGGGGATGCGAGTGTGTAATTACCTAAGTGTAATTATCTAAGTGTAGTTACAGGATGAGAGCTACGCTCGTGGTGTCCCGTCTTCCCAGCACTCTTTGTCATGTAACGCTTTGAAACTACTGACGGTCTTGGCCTCCACCACCTTCTCACCTAACTTGTTCCAACCGTCTACCACTGTGTGTGTGTGTGTGTGTGTGTGAGAGAGAGACGGAAGCCGGCATAAGATAGTGAAGAAACAGTGCCCAATCACTTCGGACTATTGGGTATGGAACGCAGACCCTACAAGTAGCGAGGCTGGTATCGCTGTACCAACCTCCCCCAAGCGGCTGGACCTATAGTCTAACTTAGATAGTCATTTCTGTAATACACTCTGCCTCCGGGGTTCAATTCGCTGGCTGTAATGAAACGGTTAGGCACTTTCAGGCGATGCCCCTATTCACCTATCAGTAAAATAGGTACCAGGGAGTTAGGCAAACTGCCGGGATGACCTCGACAAGTACAGGCTTCCTGTCCCTTAGAACAGGAATGTCGTGCCTAATAGCCAGAACTCACTACTCGGCCTAGTAGACAAGGCCAGATTTGCCTAATAGGCAAATTTGGGAGTTAAGACAGCTGCTACGGGCTGCTTACTGAGGGTGGAGGCCTGGTAGAGGACCGGGCCGCGGGCACACTAAAGCCCCGAAATCATCTCAAGATAACCTCAAGATATAGGCAGTGATTTTATTCAAAAACAAATTCAGTTGGTTTATTGGCATGAATATTATATCAAGAACATGAATTACTGACTTAGTTTAGGTTAAGAGGTTAGGTCATATTTCTGGAGTTTTAACTATTTAAATATAATTACTCATAACGTAATGGGGAAGCTATCATTTCAAATAAAAATACAGAACTTCAGGAAAACTGTTTATTAGGCATATCAGGCGTTGCATAGTAGGCCAAGTAGTGCGTTCTGGCTATTAGGTACAACAAATTATACAATTATATAAACCCACCGAGGAGAATCTTCATCCTTGCATAATTTCCCTATTAACATCAGTTTTTTCCCTGAAAAGGCTGCCTCGTTACCAATTACAACCCCACCATTACTAATGTCAATGCCATACACCCAAGCCTTTTGGGGAAATTGCTTCCTAATACCTTAAACAAATCCACCAGGGCCGTGACGAGGATTCGAACCTACGTCAGAGAGCATCTCAGACGCTGCCTTAACCGACTGAGCTACGACATGGTAGCTCCTAATACCTTGTTTTAAGTCTTAGTGTCCATTACTCAATGAATGTTTTTCTTAAGTTACAAGAAATTTAGAACATTGCATTTAAGTTCCATCTCAGTAACATTAATATGTAAGAATTTCACATTAAAAGCCAATTTAGTAGTCTTAAGATTGTGTATTTAATTTAGCTTTGACGTAGTTCACTGAAGTGCCAAATCAGGGGAAAGCGCCAAGCCATTACGACTATATAGCACTGGGAAGGGGTCAGGATAAGGATTTGGGATGGGACGGAGGGAAGGAATGGTTCCCCAACCACTTGTTGACGGTCGGGGGATTGAACGCCGACCTGCATGACGCGAGACCGTCACTCGTCCAGCCCAAGTGGTTAGGTGCACATAACTAAGGGGCCAGATTCATGAAGCAGTTACGCAAGCACTTACGAACGTGTACATCTTTCCTCAATCTTTGACGGCTTTGGTTACATTTATTAAACAGTTTACAAGCATGAAAACTTGTCAATCAAATGTTGTTATTGTTATAAACAGCCTCCTGGTGCTTCGGTGCTCATTAACTGTTTAATAATTGTAAACAAAGCCGCCAAAGATTGAGAAAAGATGGACAGGTTCGTAAGTGCTTGCGTAACTGCTTTGTGAATCTGGCCCTTTAAGCGTTTGCATTTCTGCTAGAGGTGCACACTGATTTTAATCACCCATCAATTAGTACATTCAAACTATTATTGCTCCTTTATGTTCCAGAACTGACGGCAACGGAGCAGGAACATCGAGCCCAAACGCTACGGAACACCACTAATAGTTACCATTCAAACAACAAGACTGTCCTGGTTAGCAGCGCATTCAATTATACCTAACAAGTTTTGTACTAAATATTCTAATTATGTAAATTATGATCCTTAATAAAAGCCAAATATATCAGATTTAATATTAATAATCCTACGCAAGTCTCAATAAATTTATAAACTGCTTATTTACATTCATGCTAGAAAAAAAATGAACGCCGAGGGCCTTCAATAAATTTGTAACTACAGGAAATATTGTTGACAGCACAGAGCTGTCAACGTTTGACGGCTTGTCAGTAACTGCCAGATATACAGGAGAATACAGTGCTGTCAACCTCAAAATGTATATTCACAATATGAATATGTATACACACACATGAGAGGGGCCATTTCTGCTTGCCTCTCATCCTTAGAGTTGAAATGTATGTGTTTATCTCTCGGAATGTTTGGTAATATGTTTATTGCTTGTGATGTGTGTGTATGTATGTATTAACACGATGTACTGAACGGGGTGAGAATAGCTTGAGCTACCTCATCCCTTTGTGTGTATTTGACCTCAATAAACTTATTTCAATTAGAGTTGAATTAGTGTGGGGGGGGAAAGGAGGGGGTGTAGTGATAAAAGGCAAAATGGCTCAAACTGAAGATTTTCCTAGGCAAGTTAGTCTTAAAAATTTACAATTTATCCCAAAATGAAGTATTCCTCCCCCCCTCCCCCAATTCCATAATTATTAGCAGTGGCGGTCAGGTATATAAAAAGGAAACTTTAAAATCAGATTTATTCTCTAGAATGTACATCAACTCTGACAAATTTAGAAACTAATTTCTTCTATGATAAACGACCGATTGTCGATTCTATAAAGAGTGTAGATGTAATGTTTAATATTCTCCTACAATCTGCTTGATCAAAGTGATTCAAGTATTATTCAATACTAAGGCAAGAATTTAAAACTATGGGAATTAAAATGATTTTAGGTTCGTTACTAATTGACGATTTACCAAGAGTCCTTTTCTGTCAATGGGATTTATTGTACACAAAAAAGTTTTAGGTACTTGGGCTCTGTTTACAACCATCTTAAAAGATGTTAGAAAATGCGTCAAGCAAGCACAATGAAATCTGAAGTTTTAGAAGTCCGTACAAAACTATGACGCTAAACTACCCCAGACACGTCAAACTAGCCATCAGTACTACCCATACCAACCCTTCCCTACGGTACAGCCCACGAGGAGTCGCTGGTAACAATCTAGACATTACATACAAGTCTCTGTAGCGCGATATGGCTAAACTAGAAAATAGTATAGTCTCATTAGACTTATTTACGTTGTTACACAGACTGGCAGGGGCCCTCAAGCCGGCTGGCAGGGGGCCCTCCAAGGCGACTGGGGAGGGCCCAGCTGGGAGGACCCTCCACAATCCACATTGCGTCAGCCAGTGCTTGCGTCACGGGGCTGCGGCTGGCAAGGTGTCACCGCAGACGCGGCCTCTGCTCCCTGCTACACATCAGCATACTCCTCCTGGAGAGAAAAATAGAATGTAATCATAACTAATAAACGCAGAAGTATGCAAACTTTTGGGGAAACTAAACAAAAGACTTACTAGGAAAACGTTTCATCCGTCAGACTGTGCTGCCTCGTTAGAGACCTCCTGAAGCAAAGGTTCACGGCCCCAAGACACTAACAGCACCATTAACCATCTCCTAGAGTAGTTCTGGGGTATACGCCAAGTCAGACTGAGTGTATAGGTGCCTCAACCACTCTACATGTAGATCCCACGTAGCAAAGTAGCACTAAGAGTAACAGTTAACGACACGGGGAATGATTAAAATGTAGCGGAATCGCTGGAATCTAGAGAAAATCTTGCGATATCTGGAGCAATTATTCAAAAGAAGGCGCAATGCCAGGAAGACTCTGTAGTAGAGCAAACAGGAATTGATTAACAGGTCGCCTGGTGTATTCAGAGGATCTTTAGGAGCGTAGACACACCCACCAACTAGGGACGAATCTTTCCAAGCTCACATGTCTCACAGATTGCATTTGTCAACCTAGAGTATATCCTTTGGTAGAACCAGTTGTAGAGTCAAGACTTTAAAGGCAATCTTTACTAGACATGTTGGGTAAAGACTTATGCTTAACGAGGCCATTACTGGTGGAACACAGCGTCTTATAAACTAGGAGCAGTGTTACCAACATCTCAGAAGTTTAAGGCCCTATTACAACTAGTTATAAAACTAGGAGGACCAGTCATGAATGATGCCTTGTATGGACTAATCACCAACTACCATTAAAAAATTATTGATAATCTTGTTAAAATCACCTTCTAAAAAAATTAGCTTTGAAAAACTAATTTCGAAAGCCAGTTTAAAAACCTAGCAGATGGACAGGACTAAAGGGCTATAGTTCTAGCCAGCGAGCCTTAACCTGGTTGAGATAGAGGATAAACTCGCATAACAACGGTACGTCTGTTGGAAAATTTTCCAACACAAACTTTAATAATAAATCTATAGCCACACAGGCATCCGCGACGGGCACAAGACGGGGACCGTCTTCCGTCTCTGCCTGTCCGCAGGCACCGTCAGAGACCGTCTCGACCTCGTAGGAAGGAGAAATGTCAAAAATCTGGTGGCAAAGATCGGTAGGGTCATAACTAGACAAGTCTTCAAACTGTTTACAAGGCTCAGGATCGCTGGCGAAGTGTGGCTCCACCGTAGGGGTCACTGGTGTAAACTGTTCCAGTGTGACCCAGTCACTCGGGGTGAAGGCAGCATCTCCAGAACTGTCAGAGTCTTCAAGTTCACAGACCACGTCGTGACCTCTGGACAGTTCACGTCCCGTGTCATCGGGGTGATTTAGGTCACAATGTGTAGTCTTGAAGTTGGCTAACCACTCGTCAGAAGCGACAAAGTTGGTCATGTTAAATCTCTCAGCCAACTTAAGCGCCCTTTTTTTAATGAGGCGATCTGTCATTGGTACGCCAAGAAGTACCTTGCTTAAATACCATTGTCCAAGAAATAATTCTAGGTCAACGACAATGGGTTCAGAAGGACCCCGAGAAAATTCGAAGTTACTTAGTATCAAATCCCGCTCCCTCAGTATTTGTTTAAGAAGGGTTATCGACACCCCCAACTCCTGCGACATTGTCTTGAAACTCTTAGAGCCGCGAGAGTCCAGTTTGTTAAGGAACTCAACTTTCTGTTCAAGAGTATACATCCTGTTATTGCTGGTCGTTAGGGAAGAGGCCATGTAGTTCCAAGTAGCGTGTTAACAACCACCACACCTAATGGCCCTGGACGCTCTTAGTGAACTGATCTTGTGACCCCGGCTGACCTGACCTTCACACCCCTCCAGTGCTGGCTGTGAAGCCTCGAACCGCTGGTTACACAACACCCCGAATCGCCTACCTCTGCTTAACTACCCACGGGGCTGTTGAAGCAGCCCGTCCTCCAAACAAAGATCCAAAAGTCATTCCATCCACCCGCCAAACCCCCCAGCTGTTTATGAATTAAAAACGGTTTACACACGACTCACAACTGCTGACGTCCGAACACTTCCGAAACAAGTGCTTCACTGACGACTTGTGTTCGAACCACAACGCTGTAAATGCTTCACCCACGTACTACAAATACAAATAATCGCCAACAGAACCTAAACACCTAACCTAACCTATGCCTATATATGCACAATATGCTAATATATTATAATATTTATTTATATTTGAGAAAATTCCCATTTTCAATGAATAACACATAAAAAGTATGAATGCGACTGTGGGGTCGACCGCTGGATGGAATGGACTTGAGTCGAGGACGGGTTGCTAGATACACAAAGCCTGATCACCTCCCTTTGCTTAACTACCCACGAGGCTGTTCAAGCGGGTTTTGATAATTAAAGACTTGTATTGTTTGAATAAACTTTGATTGTGAATTCTACCGTGAGGGTGATAAGTCTACTGTGAGGTAGAGAAGTCTACTGTGAGGTTCATGAGTCTACTGTGAGGTAGATAAGTCTACTGTGAGGTTCATGAGTCTGTGAGGTTAATAAGTCTACTGTGAGGTTCATGAGTGTACTGTGAGGTATATAAGTCTACTGTGAGGTATATAAGTCTACTGTGAGGTAGATACGTCTACTGTGAGGTAGATAAGTCTACTGTGAGGTAGATAAGTCTACTGTGAGGCATAGAATAGTGACGGAAGAATAACCTTACAGAATATATAAGATTCCTCTTCCTATAATTCCTGATATATAAGCTTATAGTTCACAATTATGTTAATTTGTTCACTGTTATGTTAATTGTTCACTATTATGTTAAGTGTGAACAGGATCTTGTCGGCGTGATGTGGAAACCCAAGTTATTAATACGTGATGAACAGTGATTTGAGTGATTATCTGTTGGTATATCCTGTCTCTCTCTCTCTCACCTGTGACCTGATTCACGAAGCAGTTACGCAAGCACTTACGAACCTGGGGCCTGATTCACGAAGCAGTTACGCAAGCACTTACGAACCTGTCCATCTTTTCTCAATCTTTGGCGGCTTTGTTTACAATTATTAAACAGTTAATGAGCTCGGAAGCACCAGGAGGCTGTTTATAACAATAACAACAGTTGATTGGCAAGTTTTCATGCTTGTAAACTGTTTAATAAATGTAACCAAAGCCATCAAAGATTGAGAAAAGATGGACAGGTTCGTAAGTGCTTGCGTGACTGCTTCGTGAATCTGGCCCCAGGTTCGTAAGTGCTTGTGGAACTGCTTCGTGGTTCTGGACCCAGGTTCGTAAGTGCTTGCGTAACTGCTTCGTGAATCTGGCCCCAGGTTCGTAAGTGCTTGCGTAACTGCTTCGTGAATCTGGCCCCAGGTTCGTAAGTGCTTGCGTAATTGCTTCGTGGATCTGGCCCCAGGTTCGTAAGTACTTGCGTAACTGCTTCGTGAATCTGGCCCCAGGTTCGTAAGTGCTTGCGTAACTGTTTCGTGAATCTGGCCCCAGGTTCATAAGTGCTTGCGTAACTGCTTCGTGGATCTCGCCCCAGGTTCGTAAGTGCTTGCGTAACTGCTTCGTGAATCTGGCCCCAGGTTCGTAAGTGCTTGTGTAACTGCGTCGTGAATTTCGCCCCAGGTTCGTAAGTGCTTGCGTAACTGCTTCGTGAATCAGGCCCCACGTTCATAAGTGCTTGCGTAACTGCTTCGTGGATCTGGCCCCCAGGTTCGTAAGTGCTTGTGTAACTGCGTCGTGAATTTCGCCCCAGGTTCGTAAGTGCTTGCGTAACTGCTTCGTGAATCAGGCCCCACGTTCATAAGTGCTTGCGTAACTGCTTCGTGAATCTGGCCCCAGGTCTTATATGTCTCTCTCTCACTTACACACCTGGCCGTCTCTCTCTCCTCACACCTCATATTATATGTATCTATATCTATCAAAGAGAATATATTAGTTCGAGGCTAGTAGCCCGACGCTTGCGGCTAGTCTCATTAAACTTTGCACGGGGATTGGCAATTGTCAGGTGATTGTCCCAGGGTGCTTGGGATCGACCCCCATGCCCCCACTTTAAGTAGGAGTGGCTCCTATTGCGACAATCAGCGAGTCTTATCAAGTCTGATATGGTTTGATAGTGAATAGTGTGTTTTCCTACTTATTTCACAGGTAGTATATTTTTTTTAATAATGTTTTATTCACGAAGTTTCAGATTACGCTTATCTAAGCTGTGGCTTATCTAAGGCTCGGTTACTCGTAATATTACGTCACATTTTGACGTATATGCGTTACTTAAGACACCCAGAGGATACTCCACGGACGATAACTGTGGACACCCAGACGTCACTCCACGAACGATAATTGTCTCCGTGGTGTAGTGGTAAGACACTCGCCTGGCGTTCCGCGAGCGCTATGTCATGGGTTCGTATCCTGGCCGGGGAGGATTTACTGGGCGCAATTCCTTAACTGTAGCCTCTGTTTAACGCAACAGTAAAATGTGTACTTGGTTGTAACAACAATTCTTCGCGGCGGGGATCGTATTCCAGGGACCATAGGATTAAGGACTTGCCCGAAACGCTACGCGTACTAGTGGCTGTACAAGAATGTAACAACTCTTGTATATATCTCAAAAAAAAAAATAAAAATAACTGTGGACACCCAGACGTCACTCCACGAACGATAACAATGGACTCCCAGACGACACTCCACGAACGATAACAATGGACTCCCAGACGACACTCCACGAACGATAACAATGGACTCCCAGACGACACTCCACGGACGATCAGGACCTCAACGGCGTAGATGAGTATATGGCTCCCAAGATGCAGTCTCGACGTCTCAGCGGGTTCGAATCCCGGCATGTTTGAGGGGCCAGGATGCCTCTGGCATTTAGGACACAGCTACAGGGTCAAAAATAGAGCCCTGAGGGACCCCTGAGATTGTGATACTGAAGTGGAATGTCAAACAAGGACTTCTGGGCAGAGGGGATGGGACGGGGGAAGGAATGGTGCCCAATCACTTTGGACAGTCGGGGATTGAACGCCGACCTGCATGAAGCGAGACCGTTTCTCTACCGTCCACCCCCAAGTGGTTAGACGTGGCAACCCTGTCAGCCGAGGGTATATAAGACAGTGAGGCGCCTCTGGCACCTTCAGTACCCCATCAGACAAGACGTGGTCACCGTCGCTCCACCAGGACCATGGCCAGAATAGTTCCTCTGCCTGCCGCTGTCCCTCTGGTGGCGCTGCTGCTCCTCCTCCTCCCAGCCATCAATATGGCCTTCGATGACCGTAAACCAAATTATTTCAATATTCCTGAATAATTATCATACCATCATATATTTAATAATCTCCTTTTATTACCAAAAACAGTGCTACATAGCCCGCTTGCTGCCTTTGTTTGATAATTACTTTAAAAACAAAACTGTTTCAGCTTGCGTGGGTGCGTGTCCAGCCATCTACCGGCCCGTGTGTGGGACTAATGGCGTCACTTACGACAACCGTTGTATCTTACATTACGCCAAGTGCAACAATGACAACCTCGAGGTTGCACACGAAGGAAGATGTGATGGGGATACAGCGGATTCCTTCAGATTTATTTAGGTACGTGGAGGCTTTTGTTCCTGTTGAATTTCAAGTTTTCATTGATAAAACACAAGGCCCCAAAAATCGTCGTACTAGAAAATGGAAGCGGTTGGCGAACGAGACGTACTGTCCCATTTTCTGTATTGAAAACATAAAACTGTCCCAACCTCCTCTGGTAGGTTAGGAGAGACTACTTTAAATTGTTTTCTTGACGTTAGGGGGAACCTTAGAAAGACGGGTTGGACAACCACTCCTGTCTTCTGATAACCGCTTCTCTATTCCAGCCACTTGGGGCTGGACGGTAGAGCGACGGTCTCGCTTCATGCAGGTCGGCGTTCAATCCGTCGACAAGTGTTTGGGGCACCATTCCTTTCCCCCGTCCCATCCCAAATCCTTATCCTGACCCCTTCCCAGTGCTATATAGTCGTAATTCATATCATCTATGTTCTCACATATTTCCTCAATAGCTGTCCCCCTCTGCTAGTAAAGACAAAGGTACAATCTGGCTGGCTGGTCACCTCTCCTTTGCACCTTGCAATAAGGCTTTGTTGCAACTGCTTTTGCAAACTTTGGTCCCTATATATCGAGTCTTCTGCGTTCTAGTCCTAGAGGGGGGCCTTGGGGTATTGACAAGTGGGTTGAATAGCATGCCATATGTGTAGACAGGTGTGTGTGTGTGGGTCGTACACCTGTCAGAAGCGTAGACAGAGATGACAGAAGTTGAAGGAGACGGGGGACAATGTTCTGAAGTTGATGCAAACTGCGGAAATTAATTTCCGAACGGAACACGTCACAGAGAAAGCGGTCGAGCGACCAGTCTGCCTCTATTCTTCAACCAGGATAGACAGGGTTCAACTATCTCAACCCTCTCAACTATCTATCTATCTCAACTATCTGTCTATCTCAACTATCTCCATCTACTCGGCTGTCTCACCGAGCTGTGAGTTTGTGATTATTCGGATTTATGTTTAAGAGAGAATTAACCCCATTTCCTTGTATGCTGAAACGAGTCAGCGCAGGAATATGCTGTTTCCGTAAGAATTTACCTACTCCGTAGTCTGTAGATTTAATTTAAATCCGTAGAATTTACCTACTTAAAATTATCTGTTAGATTAAGGACCTGCCCGAAACGCTGCGCGTACTAGTGGCTTTACAAGATTGTAAATACTATGTTATGTATTCTCTCAATCCCTATGTACCTTCTTGTATATATATATATATATATATATATATATATATATATATATATATATATATATATATATATATATATATATATATATATATATATATACATAAATAATAAATAAGAATATTTTTGTTACAGATTAGAGCGAAGAGGTAGAAGAGAAGTGGGCCCCTTCTACCAGGTCCTGTAAGCCCCTTCTACCAGCTCCTGTGAGCCCCTTCTACCAGGTCCTGTAAGCCCCTTCTACCAGGTCCTGTAAGCCCCTTCTACCAGGTCCTGTAAGCCCCTTCTACCAGCTCCTGTGAGCCCCTTCTATCAGGTCCTGTAAGCCCCTTCTACCAGGTCCTGTGAGCCCCTTCTACCAGGTCCTGTAAGCCCCTTCTACCAGCTCCTGTGAGCCCCTTCTACCAGGTCCTGTAAGCCCCTTCTACCAGGTCCTGTAAGCCCCTTCTACCAGGTCCTGTAAATCCCCTTCTACCAGGTCCTGTGAGCCCCTTCTACCAGTTCCTGTGGAGTCCCCTTCTACCAGTTCCTGTGGAGTCCCCTTCTACCAGTTCCTGTGGAGTCCCGTTCTACCAGTTCCTGTGAGTCCTATCGACCAGCTCCTATGAGCCCCATCGACCAGCACCACCAGTCTATAATAGTTACTAGACCATAAGTATAAACATACCTAGTTAAGCAATAAATTACTCAATATTACTAATGTTTTAAACTATATTCATATGTGGTAATTAGTGTGTAGCTAACTAGTGTACGATGATCAGAGTAAAACACGTCTGTAACCAGTTTTTTAATTCACTTCTTTAAGGGTTTAACATAGAAAACTGTTCTCTATATTTAAGCTTATATTAACCCTAAATAAAATTAATGTGTTGTTCTTTGCTGGAGAACTGTTCTCTGTGTGTTCTCTTGCACTCAAGCAATGTTCTCTTGCACTCAGGTAACGTTCTCCTGCACTCAAGCAATGTTCTCTTGCACTCAAGCAACGTTCTCTTGCACTCAAGCAACATCCCCTTGCACTCAAGCAACATCCCCTTGCACTCAAGCAACGTTCTCTTGCACTCAAGCAACATCCCCTTGCACTCAAGCAACCTCTGATGATTGGGGGAGGATAATAAAAAGAACTTATCCTAATCCGCGACAATTTCAATAGATGGGGAAATAGATTGGGGGAAAAAATTACCTCAACGGTAGAGACTTGGCGGACAAAGTTAGTAGAAACAGTGGAAGGTACTTACAGAGGCGACAGATCACTATATTAACAAGGCCGAGGCGAGAGGACTCGGAATATGACATAATGACACTATTGCAACCCGTTCTCCTTAAAATTTCCCCAATGTTAAGAAACTGACATACTTGAGTAACCCCTTAACATACCCTACCAGAGGACCCAAAACAGAAAACGGGAATCTCAGTTTCGCGAGCCGCTAATATGTCAAAATACAACGTTGTATTAGAACCATGTGAAGCAGCATTAACTAGGATTTGGGACTAAGGCTCATTAATAGTAAGATGGTTGTTAAGACCACTAAAATAGCTTACTGAACAACCAGTAAGTATATTTTTGACTTGAACATAGTCCTAGACTTAACCAAACTCTTTTTATATATATACCGAAAAATGAGATAAATTTTTAGCGTGTATTTGAAAATTCAAGTAGAACTGCATTAGATTTTAATACAATCTTGAACTGAGGAAGTGTATGAGAACACATATCGGGGCAAGAAGGGCATGAAACTTATGACATAGACTTATGTTGTGGGTCACTTCTTCAATCACTTATGACATAAAAAGACAATACATATACATGTATTTATGTAAATAAAAGCAAATTGCACAATTAGCTTCCCCGAAATTATTCCTTACATAGCTAAATGACCTGCGGGCTTCAGCTCCTGGATCCATTATGCGCCTCTGTAAACCCCTTTCCACCCACGGGATGGGTATGAGGTTCATAATAAATGACTAAAACACACATATACACACACGCGGATCAAGCTTTATATATAGCATCAATAACGAGAGCAATTCCGGGCATCGTTACCACTAATGACGTCCTCGCCTCGTTATCAACAGGGAACCTTAACTATCTTCCTTAAATACGTACCATATGCCCTCCTGGAGCCAGATTCACGAAGTAGTTACGCAGGCACTTACGAACCTGGAGCCAGATTCACGAAGTAGTTACGCAAGCACTTACGAACCTGGAGCCAGATTCCCGAAGCAGTTACGCAAGCACTTACGAACCTGGGACCAGATTCCCGAAGCAGTTACGCAAGCACTTACGCAAGCAAACAAGCACCGACCCCAAACTGGTCTGTAAGGCCCATGTTTGACGTAACGGTGATCGATCGAAACCTCGAACCCCCCTAACCACAAAAACAGTAGCATCTCTACCCACTGAGCCACCAACACTCCATAATAGGGAAGGATTTCAGAGGTAGCAGAACCACAGACGGTACACGAGGTCTAGCCAGCACGGTACAGCGTCTCCCTACACCGCCAGAGACGGTACAGCATCTCCCTACACCACCAGAGACGGTACAGCATCTCCCTACACCGCCAGAGACGGTACAGCATCTCCCTACACCGCCAGAGACGGTACAGCGTCTCCCTACACCACCAGAGACGGTACAGCGTCTCCCTACACCGCCAGAGACGGTACAGCATCTCCCTACACCGCCAGAGACGGTACAGCATCTCCCTACACCGCCAGAGACGGTACAGCGTCTCCCTACACCGCCAGAGACGGTACAGCGTCTCCCTACACCGCCAGAGACGGTACAGCGTCTCCCTACACCACCAGAGACGGTACAGCGTCTCCCTACACCGCCAGAGACGGTACAGCGTCTCCCTACACCGCCAGAGACGGTACAGCGTCTCCCTACACCACCAGAGACGGTACAGCGTCTCCCTACACCACCAGAGACGGTACAGCGTCTCCCTACACCACCAGAGACGGTACAGCGTCTCCCTACACCGCCAGAGACGGTACAGCGTCTCCCTACACCGCCAGAGACGGTACAGCATCTCCCTACACCGCCAGAGACGGTACAGCGTCTCCCTACACCGCCAGAGACGGTACAGCGTCTCCCTACACCGCCAGAGACGGTACAGCGTCTCCCTACACCGCCAGAGACGGTACAGTGTCTCCCTACACCGCCAGAGACGGTACAGCGTCTCCCTACACCACCAGAGACGGTACAGCGTCTCCCTACACCACCAGAGACGGTACAGCATCTCCCTACACCACCAGAGACGGTACAGCGTCTCCCTACACCACCAGAGACGGTACAGCATCTCCCTACACCACCAGAGACGGTACAGCGTCTCCCTACACCACCAGAGACGGTACAGCGTCTCCCTACACCACCAGAGACGGTACATCCCGCCCTGGTACCATCGTACCGTCAATGAGGTTAAAAATCAATATTGAGGCTACAGAAGGATGCCGGTGTTTGGGTCCGTCACCGATACTTATTATAGATAAGGAGAACGGGCAGCCATCTTCCCCTGAACACGCCTTCCTAGCACAGTGCAGCCCGGCTTCTTAAAATGGGGTAGTAAATGTAACAGCATAAATAAGTACAATTATATACTATTCATACCAGTCAGGAATTGTACTTATTTTCACTTAGTATTAAATCGTAGTCATATATATATTTTGTGAATATTTGAGTTTACCTGAAAGGCTGAATAGAAAACCACGACCTCACCTAGCCGTCTTAGTGTTTGAAGAAAGCATTTTATTGCTTCTTAATTACAATTATTACTTAACCTATAGCTATATTGATATTACAGTTTTATAAAACTAATAAAACAAAACTAAAATATATCAATAAATTGTAAAGTAACTCAGGATATTTTCAAAATTTGCATAAAATCTCTTGTTTAATAAATGTGAAAAAGAAATTCCTAACATTTAAAACTTGTGAACTGTTAATTCATATTATAAGCTTTACCTAAAAATTTTGAGTCTTAAAAGAAAACGAGAATAAATAGTGAGGTTAATATAACAGCCTCATTAGTGCCATTATGTACTATGTATGACAGTCAGAAAATGTACTTAGTATTAAGCCGTACTGTCAATTCGGAGGATGGGTTGCAGCAGTTATATACTTGCCTGTGGTATATATCAGTATCTGGTATGACTGGATCATGTCCCGTCTGGTTTTCATCTGTTTGAGCATCTAGTGGTTTATAGCTCATTAACCGGTAAGTGAGAAAGCTAAATATAAAATAATAATTGAAAATGTGAAAGTTTTCAATTATTTGTTCATGTTTATCTGAAATTTTACACATTTCAGAGTGCTGAGATTTTGAAAAAAAAATTAAATTTTGAAAAAAATTCAAAATTTTGAAATTTTGAAAAAAATTGAAAGCATGTTCGAAAGCCGAATCTGTTCATCAAAGATTCGATCAGTCAGTTGATTGATCGAATCTCGAACTGAAAAAATATTTTGACAATAAAATGCAATCCTCAATCCGAGGCGCTATATATATATATATATATATATATATATATATATATATATATATATATATATATATATATATATATATATATATATATATATATATATATCAATATTGTAACTTTTTTTGTGTAATGACATTTTCAAATAAAGTTAGATAAATATACACACTTAACAAAAGAATAGGGGTGGTAGGAGAAGAAAATATCAAAGTGTTCAGTGAGGATCCACAAGGTCTTCTCTGAGTACTCTTTGTTTTCTTCTCCGAGGCTATGGGTCCCTACACTTGCACCAGAGGTGGTACCCCTTCTATATATATATATATATATATATATATATATATATATATATATATATATATATATGCGAACAAGCCTGAATGGTCCCCAGGACATATGCAACTGAAAACTCACACCCCAGAAGTGACTCGAACCCATACTCCCAGAAGCAACGCATCTGGTATGTACAAGACGCCTTAATCCACTTGACCATCACGACCGGACAAAATGAGGTGATAGCCGAGGCTATTTGAACCACCCCACCGCCGGCACTCGGATAGTTATCTTGGGCATAGCATTTTACCAAATCACCTCATTCTTTGGGGCAACACGTGAGGAACACAAATGCGAACAAGCCTGAATGGTCCCCAGGACATATGCAACTGAAAACTCACACCCCAGAAGTGACTCGAACCCATACTCCCAGAAGCAACGCATCTGGTATGTACAAGACGCCTTAATCCACTTGACCATCACGACCGGACAAAATGAGGTGATAGCCGAGGCTATTTGAACCACCCCACCGCCGGCACTCGGATAGTTATCTTGGGCATAGCATTTTACCAAATCACCTCATTCTTTGGGGCAACACGTGAGGAACACAAATGCGAACAAGCCTGAATGGTCCCCAGGACATATGCAACTGAAAACTCACACCCCAGAAGTGACTCGAACCCATACTCCCAGAAGCAACGCATCTGGTATGTACAAGACGCCTTAATCCACTTGACCATCACGACCGGACAAAATGAGGTGATAGCCGAGGCTATTTGAACCACCCCACCGCCGGCACTCGGATAGTTATCTTGGGCATAGCATTTTACCAAATCACCTCATTCTTTGGGGCAACACGTGAGGAACACAAATGCGAACAAGCCTGAATGGTCCCCAGGACATATGCAACTGAAAACTCACACCCCAGAAGTGACTCGAACCCATACTCCCAGAAGCAACGCATCTGGTATGTACAAGACGCCTTAATCCACTTGACCATCACGACCGGACAAAATGAGGTGATAGCCGAGGCTATTTGAACCACCCCACCGCCGGCACTCGGATAGTTATCTTGGGCATAGCATTTTACCAAATCACCTCATTCTTTGGGGCAACACGTGAGGAACACAAATGCGAACAAGCCTGAATGGTCCCCAGGACATATGCAACTGAAAACTCACACCCCAGAAGTGACTCGAACCCATACTCCCAGAAGCAACGCATCTGGTATGTACAAGACGCCTTAATCCACTTGACCATCACGACCGGACAAAATGAGGTGATAGCCGAGGCTATTTGAACCACCCCACCGCCGGCACTCGGATAGTTATCTTGGGCATAGCATTTTACCAAATCACCTCATTCTTTGGGGCAACACGTGAGGAACACAAATGCGAACAAGCCTGAATGGTCCCCAGGACATATGCAACTGAAAACTCACACCCCAGAAGTGACTCGAACCCATACTCCCAGAAGCAACGCATCTGGTATGTACAAGACGCCTTAATCCACTTGACCATCACGACCGGACAAAATGAGGTGATAGCCGAGGCTATTTGAACCACCCCACCGCCGGCACTCGGATAGTTATCTTGGGCATAGCATTTTACCAAATCACCTCATTCTTTGGGGCAACACGTGAGGAACACAAATGCGAACAAGCCTGAATGGTCCCCAGGACATATGCAACTGAAAACTCACACCCCAGAAGTGACTCGAACCCATACTCCCAGAAGCAACGCATCTGGTATGTACAAGACGCCTTAATCCACTTGACCATCACGACCGGACATAATGAGGTGATAGCCGAGGCTATTTGAACCACCCCAACGCCGGCACTCGGATAGTTATCTTGGGCATAGCATTTTACCAAATCACCTCATTCTTTGGGGCAACACGTGAGGAACACAAATGCGAACAAGCCTGAATGGTCCCCAGGACATATGCAACTGAAAACTCACACCCCAGAAGTGACTCGAACCCATACTCCCAGAAGCAACGCATCTGGTATGTACAAGACGCCTTAATCCACTTGACCATCACGACCGGACAAAATGAGGTGATAGCCGAGGCTATTTGAACCACCCCACCGCCGGCACTCGGATAGTTATCTTGGGCATAGCATTTTACCAAATCACCTCATTCTTTGGGGCAACACGTGAGGAACACAAATGCGAACAAGCCTGAATGGTCCCCAGGACATAATAGCCTCGGCTATCACCTCATTTTGTCCGGTCGTGATGGTCAAGTGGATTAAGGCGTCTTGTACATACCAGATGCGTTGCTTCTGGGAGTATGGGTTCGAGTCACTTCTGGGGTGTGAGTTTTCAGTTGCATATGTCCTGGGGACCATTCAGGCTTGTTCGCATTTGTGTTCCTCACGTGTTGCCCCAAAGAATGAGGTGATTTGGTAAAATGCTATGCCCAAGATAACTATCCGAGTGCCGGCGGTGGGGTGGTTCAAATAGCCTCGGCTATCACCTCATTTTGTCCGGTCGTGATGGTCAAGTGGATTAAGGCGTCTTGTACATACCAGATGCGTTGCTTCTGGGAGTATGGGTTCGAGTCACTTCTGGGGTGTGAGTTTTCAGTTGCATATGTCCTGGGGACCATTCAGGCTTGTTCGCATTTGTGTTCCTCACGTGTTGCCCCAAAGAATGAGGTGATTTGGTAAAATGCTATGCCCAAGATAACTATCCGAGTGCCGGCGGTGGGGTGGTTCAAATAGCCTCGGCTATCACCTCATTTTGTCCGGTCGTGATGGTCAAGTGGATTAAGGCGTCTTGTACATACCAGATGCGTTGCTTCTGGGAGTATGGGTTCGAGTCACTTCTGGGGTGTGAGTTTTCAGTTGCATATGTCCTGGGGACCATTCAGGCTTGTTCGCATTTGTGTTCCTCACGTGTTGCCCCAAAGAATGAGGTGATTTGGTAAAATGCTATGCCCAAGATAACTATCCGAGTGCCGGCGGTGGGGTGGTTCAAATAGCCTCGGCTATCACCTCATTTTGTCCGGTCGTGATGGTCAAGTGGATTAAGGCGTCTTGTACATACCAGATGCGTTGCTTCTGGGAGTATGGGTTCGAGTCACTTCTGGGGTGTGAGTTTTCAGTTGCATATGTCCTGGGGACCATTCAGGCTTGTTCGCATTTGTGTTCCTCACGTGTTGCCCCAAAGAATGAGGTGATTTGGTAAAATGCTATGCCCAAGATAACTATCCGAGTGCCGGCGGTGGGGTGGTTCAAATAGCCTCGGCTATCACCTCATTATGTCCGGTCGTGATGGTCAAGTGGATTAAGGCGTCTTGTACATACCAGATGCGTTGCTTCTGGGAGTATGGGTTCGAGTCACTTCTGGGGTGTGAGTTTTCAGTTGCATATGTCCTGGGGACCATTCAGGCTTGTTCGCATTTGTGTTCCTCACGTGTTGCCCCAAAGAATGAGGTGATTTGGTAAAATGCTATGCCCAAGATAACTATCCGAGTGCCGGCGGTGGGGTGGTTCAAATAGCCTCGGCTATCACCTCATTTTGTCCGGTCGTGATGGTCAAGTGGATTAAGGCGTCTTGTACATACCAGATGCGTTGCTTCTGGGAGTATGGGTTCGAGTCACTTCTGGGGTGTGAGTTTTCAGTTGCATATGTCCTGGGGACCATTCAGGCTTGTTCGCATT